ACTATCTTCCGAATAACTGTCCTAAATTATCTAGGCCGAAAATAGACCCTAACAGGGCCTCAGTCTTTAATGTAAATTGCGCACTTCCGCTACATGCGGCGTGAAGTTGGGCTATAGTAGATAGTAGATGGCTGGGACTCAATAAGCAAATAAAATGAAAGAAGATGCGGTAGCTGCTGCTCTTGAGTCCCAGCCATCTAGTTTAGTGGCGTGGAAGATACTTGTGGCGGTAGTTGCCGGAAGTGTGCAATTAGGTAACCCGAAGTCCGAAATGTATATGTAACTGAGGCCTTGTTAGGGTATATTTTCGGCCTCGATAATTTAGGATCGTTATTTGGAAGATAGCCCATTTTAGTTTTAATATTTTCATCCATACATATATTATTTAAATTACTCAATGGGACTTGTAGAGACTTCGAAAATAATTCAACAGTGTATCATTTGAACCCGCAAAGTGGTGGCGTAGTGTGATCACTAGAAAAAAATGGCGTTGGGGGAGGTGACAGAAATATGTTTGTAGCAGAATAAATATGTATGGTACCAGGAAATTGTCCACACCGGGTGGCACTCAGAGCTTGCTATGCCACTGTGTAGAAGTGTAGAGAGTAACAACCTTTTAGGCCAGTCCATGTTGGACAAATCTATGTTAAAGGAAAATACAGTAGAACCTCACTTAACGAGCACCTCTCATAACAAGTAATTCGCATAAAGAGCAAAACAAATTGTAAAAAAAATGACTTGCTTAACGAGCAACGTTTCGCATAATGAGTGGCGAGGAAAAGGAAAGTTCCAGATTGTGCGCATGCTACGTCAGTCAGTGTGTAGCACTCGTTCCATTTGCATCGTAGTGTCGCTTGTGATCACACATTTTCTGAAACGTATGTTATATTGTGATAGGTGTACATGAATCCTCCAGGCCTACAAGATGACCTCCCTGAAAAATTTAGGTTCATTAAGGTCCAATTTCTGCCTCTTGACACCACTCCGTTACTCCAGCCCATGGACCAGCAAGTTATTTCTAACTTAAGAAGCTCTACACTATATAGCACTTTTCGAGCATTGTTTTCAAGTGACTGAAGGGACAAACCTCACTCTTAAAGAGTTATGAAAAATCACTTCCATATCATTGCCTGCCTAAAGATGATCGACAAGGCGGGGGAAGTGATTACCAAGAGAACCCTAACTTCTGCTTAGAAGAAGCTTTGACCGGAGAGCGTTGTTGATTTGGGACTTTGAGGGGTTCGAGACAGTACCTGTGGAACCTGTAGTCAACGAGATTGTGTCTTTGGCCCCTATCATGAGATTGTAGGTGGATAACAGTGATATCGAAAAGCTTGTGGAAGAGCACAGCTAAGAGCTGACCACCGAAAAGCTTATGGAGTTGCAATGTGTTTCACAGCAAGATGTTTTGGAGAAAATGTTGTCAGGGGAGGAGGAGGTAACAGAAAAGCAACAATCTTCTGGCGAAATAAGAGAAATGCTGAAAGCATGGGAAACTGTTGCATCTTACATTGAGAAGCATCACCCTAATAAGGAAATTTATTTAATGATAACGCTGTGTCGCATTTTCTCCAAATTTTGAAGCGTCGGCAAAAACAAATGTCTCTGGACATCTTTCTAGTAAAAAAAAAATAATAATTAGCTATGTATCATAATTATTTCTACTTTTTTCTTTTTCTTTTCTGCAAATCGAATTCGCATTACAGGTGGGTTCTTTCCACGTTTGAAGAAAAGATGAAGATGGTTCACTCTCCTTAACAATATGTATATAATTTTTTGGGGTATAAACGTTATACACAGTATTTTGTGAGTATTTTTTTTTTCGACATGGAACGCATTATCGTATTTTACATTAAATTATAAAAGAAAATCTGTTTCGCATAACGAGTGTTTCTCTTAACGAGTTTGATTCTAAAACGAATTATGCTCGTTAAGCGAGGTTCCTCTGTAATACATACCAGTTGTTAAAGGGAAATAATACATAGCTGTTGTTAAAGGGAAATAATATATAGCTGTTGTTAAAGGGAAATGATACATAGCTGTTGTTAAAGGGAAATAATACATAACTGTTGATGTGCCTGCTCGCAGACTGACAAATTAGTAGTAGTAGTAGATTTTTTCCCCACCAGGACATCACACAAGCGATAAACGCCCGATGACACAAAGCGCCACCATGTGAATAAGGATCACCCGTGGAGAGGTCCCAGAAACCGCGTTCAGCAATTCGACCATATTAATGGTTGGGCTATATTGGCAAGAGCCAGAGTAGGGCTTCAAATAACGAAAAATTGCATCTCACAAGGAGATCACTGGATATGGGATGAGATTGACAAAAGCATATTAAAAATAATATGTCATTATTTCTTTTAAGTACTTTTAGATTCAATCATGGCATTCCTACATTTTGGTAGTTTTAAACTAGGAGAGCAGTGAGTGAGACTGCATTGTTTAAAAAAAAACAACAACCCAGAAAGCAGTTTGAAAAAAATGAAAATATGACGTTAGACTTAGACAGCAGGAAAAGATGTGTATGTTATTGGCGTTCCGAAACTCACGGGTACCCTCTGGAGGACATTGATATTAACCCTTTAGCTCTGTAAAATCTTAAAACATGACCTTTTTTTCAACACTTGACTAAAAAGAAAGACATTGTTGTAATCGTGTGAAACTCTGAAACTCTACTGAAATGAGATCTGCTTTCTGTTAATTATGAGACTGTGATGGCGTTCCGAAACTCACGGGTACCCTCTGGAGGACATTAAAAAAACCCTTTAGCTCTGTAAAATCTTAAAACATGACCTTTTTTCAACACTTGACTACAAAGAAAGACATTGTTGTAATCGTGTGAAACTCTGAAACTCTACTGAAATGAGATCTGCTTTCTGTTAATTATGAGACTGTGATGGCGTTAAACTCACGGGTACCCTCTGGACCAATTAAAAACCCTTTAGCTCTGTAAAATCTTAAAACATGACCTTTTTTCAACACTTGACTACAAAGAAAGACATTGTTGTAATCCTGCGAAACTCTGAAACTCTACTGAAATGAGATCTGCTTTCTGTTAATTATGAGACTGTGATGGCGTTCCGAAACTCACGGGTACCCTCTGGAGGACAATGATATTAACCCTTTAGCTCTGTAAAATCTTAAAACATGACCTTTTTTCAACACTTGACTACAAAGAAAGACATTGTTGTAATCCTGCGAAACTCTGAAACTCTACTGAAATGAGATCTGCTTTCTGTTAATTATGAGACTGTGATGGCGTTCCGAAACTCACGGGTACCCTCTGGAGGACAATGATATTAACCCTTTAGCTCTGTAAAATCTTAAAACATGACCTTTTTTCAACACTTGACTACAAAGAAAGACATTGTTGTAATCGTGTGAAACTGAAACTCTACTGAAATGAGATCTGCTTTCTGTTAATTATGAGACTGTGATGGCGTTCCGAAACTCACGGGTACCCTCTGGAGGACAATGATATTAACCCTTTAGCTCTGTAAAATCTTAAAACATGACCTTTTTTTCAACACTTGACTACAAAGAAAGACATTGTTGTAATCGTGTGAAACTCTGAAACTCTACTGAAATGAGATCTGCTTTCTGTTAATTATGAGACTGTGATGGCGTTCTGAAACTCACGGGTACCCTCTGGAGGACAATGATATTAACCCTTTAGCTCTGTAAAATCTTAAAACATGACCTTTTTCCAACACTTGACTACAAAGAAAGACATTGTTGTAATCCTGCGAAACTCTGAAACTCTACTCTAAGAAACTAAAGAAAGAAACAGAGAGGTAAAAACAATTTGTCTGGTCAGCTTTTGTCAAAATCTAGGGAGATGAAACCTATGACAACCTGGCAGATAGACAAGCCTGCTAGCTGTTATATCACAGAGGCTTCCCAAAGTTCTAAATTTTATTTTTTATATTTAAAGTCATTATTTTATGTACAGGTGATTTTTAATTATTTTTTTAAACAAGTGGAGGAACAAATATGTGGGAAAGAAATAACAGCTTTCCTTCCCTTGAATAATGAAAACGGGTTTTCCCACACAAAAAAAAGAATATTGATCACTGACCTCCAAAAGAATGGTACATTTATATGAAATGACAATCGCCTTTTTTATTATTAAATGTTGGGTCACCGCCTGTTTCTGCTCATGACACCTGACAGCAAAAGTAGAAAATGATGATGATGATACTGCATGTATACATAAAGTCTTAGCTAGTGATGTTTTCTTCATTTTGCACATTATTATATTTTAATTTTCAGAGTTATGCATCCTGTGCAGACTGTTCTGGGATTTACTGCCCTTGCTTTTTGCTTTGCTTTTTTTGTGTATCTCACCAATAACCAGTACAAGGCCCAGCGCTTCAAGCGTGACCATCCAGTATTTTGTGTGGCGGCCGTCATAGCAACCGGATATTTTGTGGTGTACATGTTTGGAGCCGTTCTTGTATTTATGTTTGGAATAGCTTTCCCTTTACTGTGTAAGTATTTATAATAAGCTTTCCCAGGAAATTCTTTTTCATGTCATATGTCATTATAAATTTTTTTTTTTTTTTCAAATTCTTTTCAACAGTCTGATTGAATTGTTCATATTCATTTGAAAATATTTTTTATTTGAGAAGAGTTACAATCAGAACTCTGTTAAGTCACTAGGCGTATATAGTCATCACAAGACATTTTTGTCTCTACAAATGTATCAGCATCATGGGGTCGCAAGTCTGTTGCAGCCTATGGTTGTCGTCATAGTTTACACCCCCCCCCCCCTCCCCCCAAAAGTATCTTGATCTTTTGTCAGTGCCCCTACCTTAAACAATTCATACCCAGAGTAGCTGTATCTTGGGTTTGCAGTTATGTTGAGGGGCTCATGCTTTTTTCAAGGGACTGCCTTTCATTACTCTTACTTTTACACCGTAAACATACTTAGAGTTTCACAGAGGCTAACTTGATTATTTAATTATGGCTGTTGCTTAATAGACTGCAGTCAGGTGACTAGAGGACCCTTTTCACACCAGTAACATATCGTGCCTATGATGTCATACTCATATTTGTGTAGACCAATCAGCATTTGGAGGATGTACTCAACATCATGCCGACCACCTGGGTTGCCCTGGAAGTGAAAGTCATTTTTGAAGGGGAAATGTCCAGCGGTAAAGGGTGAAGCCTGATATAAATTATTCTAAAATGCCTTACTTACTGATCTTGTACACTGTTTTATCCAATGTGGATAATACCAGCCCCTCAAGGTGCTGGAAGGATGCTATAAGGGCAGTCCGGTTTTTAATTTCCAGTCACCTGAATTCCAAGGATATATTGATGTTTAAAGAGGCAGTGGTGAATAAAGGTGGAAGTACTGACTTCAGTGCACAGGGTTTCATGTAATGTTGTTTGGTCATTGCCATACTCGAGACTGGCCCAGAGTATCACACAAATCATGAACTCTGTAGCTGCAGTGACAATCCTCATTAACCTTCGAGATTAGTAGGGCAGCAGGGTTGGAAACACACCTGTCTAGAATATTAGTATTGCATTTGATTTAGTTGTCACCCAGACTGATGTTTTACAGAATTCCCACATATATCTAGTCAGTGAGCTTAGAGAACTCTTTTATGTCAATTTAAAATACATGTGACAAAGAGTAGTAAGTATGTGGATGTTTCTATTTTCCGTCACTTTTTATTTACAAAATATAAACCCTCTTTTGATAGATTTAATTTTGGTTTAAGGTAAATGTTTCGATTCCAGGCAGTTACAATTCTTGGTTCTTCCTTTATATCCAGAGTCTATTTTGTCATGTTTTGCTCTTTTTTTATGTTTTTAAAAATTGTGTTTATGTATCTTCTCTAAATGCTATGTTTTTTAAGGATTTGATCACATCTTGTAATACATCACTTTAATTCAGAAAGTTTCTACTTTGGCATGCCTATGTGTAGTGTCCTAGACAGATGCTATTCACACCAGAGAGTTGAGGAATAAACAGTCTGCATACAAATAAGCCAGATCTGTAAAACATATATGTATGCAAAACACAGGTTATCTGGAACAAGATGGAAGTCTAGAAATGGACAAACAACCATTACTTTCTGCCAGAGTTTACAGGTAAGAAGAAGAAAACACAGGTGGTATAGGTTGTCATTGAGATTAATGAGTGTTAATTTTCTCCTCAGTAATACTCATCCATGCATCATTGCGTTTGAGGAACCTGAAGAATAAGTTAGCCAACAAGCTGGAGAATGTTGGACTGAAACGCACTCCCATGGGTCTCATTTTGGATGGGCTAGGTCAGGAGCAGGAAGCTGGATCTTAAAGTTTCGTCAGCTTTTATGTTGTTTTTATATTATTTAATTTTAGGATTTGGGAATGTGATACAATATAAAATGCCAAGTTCATAATGTTTTTGGATGTATGAATACATAATACATTTATATGAATAATTTTTCATTATATAATATCTTGCTGATTATAACTGATTTATGAAGAGTGATGTGAAAGTTTTTCTTCAGTTTTAAAATTAACCTGAAAATTGAAATCAGGTTTTGGAAATGTTCAGGTGCTAACAAATAAAAAAATTAAAAAAGAATTCAGGTCACGTTTGCTCTGCTTAAAATTTAGTGTTCGGCCCAAACAAACATTAGTCTCCCCACAGAAAGTAGGTCACATTCCATTGATAACTTTCTTGGACTGGTCTAACCTGCTGGGGGTTATGGGTGTACCGCTCTGTTGTTTGCTTTCTGGAATGTCTTGAATTTACTTTTTTATTCCGAGAAAGAGAATGCCTGTGACATAGGTTTCATCACTCTCTAATGGGGTTTTGTGTTAGACCCAGTTTGTCAATGTTTTTATGTCTTAAAGGCACTGGAATGCTAAAATATAGAAGATGCGATATCAATGGCATTGGGGAACAACCCCCTTATCTTGTGCCAAGGTCGGGTGGCTCAAGGTCGACCAATCAAAAGTAAGCTAGGCTGAAGGTTGACCAATCGTAAGTGAGCTAGTGTGTATATGGGCGGTCTGTGGGGAGACTAACGTTTCTATTACCTGGTTATCATAAGAAACTGGTGAACTGAAATATTCTTTTATAGATACTGTACTGCTGGTTCCATTTATTACTTTTTCCTGATTTGTTGCAATTTTTTTTTTTATTAATAATATTTTACAAGTTACTTGATTTTGGCACACATTTCATGCAGATTGCCATGAACCACTTCTAAGGTCATTTATTTTTTATATGAATCTTCAGCATCTTGCCCCCTCGGCTCTAAAACTACATCCCCAGCTACTCTACATGTACATTATACATGCACACACCTCTTTCTGGATAGTACCCCTCCTACACATTTAAATCAAGACTGCTTCCCTGAATTTGTCCACATTGAGGCGCCACCACTCACTTTTAGATTGGGTGGCCTAGATGTACCACCAGAGTCATTTTCAGATATTAACTTTGTTGCCCAGAGAAAGCCAGTTTTCCTACTTCTATGGGTATTTGATGTTAAGACATCTGTGGGCAGTGGTCAGTATGCCTATACAACAGTTTTGGCACTGGTTGCAGCTTGATAGTGTGAATATAGTGGGTATTATTATAATTACCCTTTTTTTTTTTTAACCCAGATGTTATTTGGGTTAGAAAAATAAAGAGTAAGAATTAAATTTAAATTTTTTTAGTTTGTCACTGTGATGTCATAAAAAACTTATATAATCACTTTGCACTTGCCATCTGTGTTAACAAAACCCAATCTCTTTGTCAAAGTGAAGGAAAGCAATCAATTCTTAGCTCATTTTGTATTTACTGATTACTTCCCTTCATATTAAAAAATAAAAATCACCTTCGAGCCAGTAAATGTGAAAAAATTGATTGTTTTAGTGACATGGGTGCTGAAATGATACAGCAGCTAGCAGGCTTGCCTGCCTATGCAGTATCATAGAATTTTTAATGAAATTTAGGAAACAATTGTTAGAACTTTTTGTCATTTTTAGGATGAAATTTTTTGTTTTTTGAAGCCCTACTCTGGCTCTTGTCAGGGGCTCCAATATGGCCTAAAGGCTGAACACGGTTTCTAGGACCTCTCCACGGTGATCCTCACCCACATGGTGGCACATTGTGTCATCGGGTGTTTATCGCTTGTGTGATGTCCTGGTGGGGTAGAAAGTCAGTCAGTCAGTCATTTAGGAAAATGTTAAGAAAATAAATTTGTATCAGGGTTAAACAGGAAAAAAATTAATCTAAATAAGAAGTTAAACTACTTAGATTCTTAAAAATTATGTAAGTAGTTGCAGGTAAACTTATTGGAAAAACTGATCTGCACTGAAAGTGGCTAATTGTTACTGGTACCCATCTAATTTGTGTGATAATTTTCTGATGCATGTGAGAGATGTTCCTGCACTCATATATATTTTTACGTCATTTTTGTGGCTTAGGCAGTGCAACTGCACTTCGTATTTCTTAGATACCCTGGTTTGATTTAAGCTATGGGAGCTTTGTCGGCAGACCACTTTATGTTCACCTTGACAATGGTATCCAGAACTGAACTTTCAGAAAACTACTGAACGTAAATTGACTAGTAAAACCAAAAATGCTGGGTTTGTGCTGCAGTGTTATGTAAAAGATTACTTTAACTACAGTAAAACGTTATTTAAAAAGAACAGCCCACAAATTGAAAGATACAGAAACTGAGTTCATGTTAAAAAACAAATTAATACTAACTGGGGTCTAATAACTGTAATACATCTTTGCCTGGACCAAAATTGTGTTCATGTTAATTGAATGTTCTTCTTGAGCGAGCTCATGCTCAGCAAGATTTTAATGTGTATTTACACATCCTTTTACTGAATATCTTTACATCTTTTTACTGTATATTTATACATCATTTTACTGTGTATTTTTACATCTTTTAAAATAGAATACAGGCTGTGTCACTGAGTCCGTAAATGCTTTTGAAGTCTAAATATTGATGGGAAGTCCTGGTATCAGGACAGTCATCTTAGATTACAGTTATCAGGCTGTGAACACGGCATGTTCCAAAGTGCCATTTGAGCAAATGCTCAACACCATGAAATCAGGAATTAGTAGCTTTCCTCTGCCAAAGTCAGATAGATTGGTTAAATCACAACATTGAACAAATATTTGATTTTTCTTACCCTTTGAAAGAAATGGAAGCTTTTCTGTTCTCGAAATTTTAGTTGCTGTCTACCTGTCAATTATTTGAAAGCAGCTGGGAAATGGTTTTATAGATGAATGATAAGAAAACTCTTAACAGATAAAAACGAGAGATGGATAAGTCTTGAAAGAATGTGACTGATGAAGAGAACTGATTGTCCACATGAGAAAGAGACAATCTACATTCTTTGGTCATGTGATGAGAAGGAGAAAACTAGAGTACATCACCATGGTTGGAAGGTTGGAGGGAAAAGAGGCAGAGAGAGACTGAGGGAGAAGGTACTGGACAGTTTGACATCATGGCATGGAAGATCATCTGTGTAAGAACTGATTGAAAGTACACGAGACAGAAGGTTTGGGATAGAAATGACTACCAGCAACACACAGCATGAAAAACAAGAAGTCTACCTATTGTTTTATGTCTTTTTATCTGAAAAACAACCTTACAGTCATTTGTCCAATGTTTTAATATCGTGATAAGTTTGGTTTGTATTTTACTTCAAGAGGCTATTGTGATGTTAACCACATCACCCATTGCGTGTCAACCGGTCTCTAAAACTATGGGTCTAGCATCATATGCTCAAAGAGGTCCTTATGTTATTTATAACACATTGTCAATTTGTTTGTACTTGCATAACCTTTGCAGTACATTGTGAACCATCACCAGAATTGGTAGGGTGTTTGTAGTTTTTACCGGGAAATGTTAGGTTCAATAGTCTGCCAGTTTTCTCTGACCTGTCAACAGTCTGTAATAAGTAAAGGACCCTTTTCCTCTTCTTCAGGTGTATTGGGCATATAGGGCTAGACCTATATTTTACTGACCAATCATTACTCGGTGGGTGATTTGGTAAACATCATGCCAAGGGCCTTAACTTCCCAGGACTGTACCTGGTACCCATTTAAGGCTGGGTCGACCAGGGAGACAAGGTCATTTTTGACAAATGTCTGGTGCCCTCAGGACCTGAATCTGTGACTTTCTAATCTACAGGCCAGTATCTAACCGCTACACCGCAGTCACTGCCAGTCGACATTCTATATTATTGTAAAAATCAGTGCAAAGTGATTTTCTACCAAATCACTACCAGCTAAATTGAAATGGGTAATTCAGAATTATAAAATAGTGTTTTTCTTTTTTTTTCTTTTGTCATTTCACTGATACCAGGTTGTACCTCAGCGTCGTGTTTTCTATATTTGTCTTGCGCTTCTCGGATGGCTTGAGTGATGGATTTGGGTTTTTTTGGCATGTTTCAGCTACACCATTTATCCATCTCTTTCTTGTTCTTCCTCTTGCCTTCCTCTCAGATGTTCTACTGTAAAAAATCTCATATGCAGTCTGGTCCGGCTGCATTCTCACTAGATGGCTGAACCATTTCATTCTTTGTCTGTCAGTATAATCCAGAACATGATTTTATGCCAACATCATTTAACTATACACATCTAAAAGTGATCACTTCCTAGCTTATTACGTAGATGTTTTAATTATGCATTACTCCAAGCATTACTAGTGTTATGTTCATTAAGCTGCTGTCACAAAACATCTTTTTTTTTAAATGCTTAATTGTTTCTGTTGATTGCAAATATTATCCTTATTTCTGCTTTACTTTCAATTTAGTTTGAATGCCACTGTGCAGTGTGGTAATGTGCGTCTGTGATAACATTATAATATTTTAATAAATTTATTTATTATTGTCTTGTCTTCTCACTGAAAATGTTGTATTATTGTTGAACACTCTTGTTTGGGCTAGTGCTGTTGCCAGCATTTTGCCAGCTATCCCAATGGCCCTGAGTCGGAAACCATCGAGATGGGATTGTTTCAGAATTGACCTTGACTTCTGGCTCAGCTCAGTCAAAATTGGCTACATTGGAAATTATAAGGTAAGTAAAGATAATATGTGCTTTGACCACACTGCCCATCAGTAAACATATACTGAAAACCATATTCTATGTGCAATCATTAGTATGAAAAAGGGAACTTTTACTTTGTTCTTTTACTGAGTTTTGCTCTCATGGTGCCATTAGATATAGCTTTCTAGCATGCGTTGGTTTGATTGATTTTTGCTTTGCTGAATAATTTTCTGTTGATTTTAGGAATTACACTGAACTTCCATATGTTGTTTTAATGTATTTCTCCACTCCAGAATTTACTGTTG